ATTCAAAGTAGTTTCCCAGTACTTTTAAGGAAGCTCCTGAGCTGAAAACAATTGGAAGCGTTAGGGAATAGTGAAATATTTCCTGCTCGTATTCTTCCCTGAGCATCTGCTTATGGCCATTTTCAAACAAATCATAGGGCTTGATTGATCATTTTGGCTGTATTTGGATTAAACTGTCTTTATGACTCTTTCGGGTGCTTGTAATGTTGGCAGACCAACCACGTAGACTGAGTTTCTCTGTGTTGAGTGTGCTAGGGTAGATTATATTAACTTCTGTCAAAGTGAGTCCTGTTTTTCTCTTGGAGTAGGGTTGGATACTTTTTTTCTTCTTAATGTTTTTGACACCTGTGAGAACATACAATTCATCTGTTCTCTAGTAGCATTTTGACACTTTGCTTTGTACCTGAGAGGTACCTCTTGCTGCTGTTTTTTTCCTACACTTCCACCAGTTTAAAAGCCTCTGAAATTGTTCATGTGTACTCAGCTTCACAGAGCTTGGGAGCTAAATCCTTTGCCTTCCATTTAACTGCTGCCTTTTTTACTTCTCTGCACAGCATTTAATTGTACACCTGAGCAATGGTGTGTTCTTTGCAACTGAGCTGCATGTGCTCAGCGGTCTTTTGGGGGCAAGGAGTTGAGTCTCTTCCTCTGAGAGTTGTTCCTTTTATCTGCCAGTTTTACAAGGAAAAAGAGTCAAATTTATGCTGTCTCCCTCAGGTAATGTGAAGTTGGACATAGCTAGTGGATTAGTCGGGGCGATGAGAGGGGAGATGATAGGGTGTGCGGTAGGTAAGAGAGAAATAGATGTGATTAGGCTGGGAAGAGCAAGTGTACAAAGGTATCTAACGCAAATCAATACAAATACATGTGTACATACAAATCAAGGATTTCTGTGGAACCGGACTGGAACCTATTCAACTATTAAGTACGTTTTTCCTTGCAAGGAATACATCTCCTATGGAAAAATTCCCATCCTGCAGTTGGTTTTTAGTGGCTTCTGCTGCTGTTGCTTCATTTGTGAATGACTCTGGTCTGAAGTCGAAGAATCCAGCTGTGGGGAAGTTGCTCTGTCTAGCGAGTTTCATCTTTAGCTGTGACTTTGGTGGTTTTTTTATGTTAACTGATTTTAATAAAATTAATTTTGTAAGCTATAATGCCCCACAGTTAAGCAAGATGAAAAACAATAGTATTTTGCATAACCTTAAGTCATTTTCTACCTCTTTGAGTGCTTGATATGAAAAAAAAAAATGTAGAGGAATAGATTTTCATTGTAATTTGCATTACTCTGAGCTGTTGCCATTTTAGTCTTCTGGAATACAAGGCTGCTAACTGTTGCGTAAGTTGCTTTTGACTTCAGAACAGTAAATGGCCCGAAACTTTGGCATCTTTCTATAGAAATTTTCAGTTGTTTATCTGCAGGTTTTGCATTTATAGTGAGCAAGTCCCATGATGCCACATGCCCTGTAATTACCTTTGGGTTTTTGGTTAACCATGTCTTGGTTAAGCATATCGATAGGTGCTTATTACAAGTAGGCTGGTTAGCAGTTTCTCTTCCGCACTGCACTCAAAGGTCATTGCTATTCTTGGTCTTGAAAACAAGGTAAAAATTTGGCTAGTGAGACTTAGTGGAGGAATTTTCTTTTTCTCCTCCTAGCTGAATTTTGCAGCTTTATTGCTTTGCTTAGCAATATTATGGAAAATAATAGCTTTACTGTAGTCTTTGGAGCAAGGTACACCTAACGTTATAACTATGCAAACAAATGTGATGCCGCTACTCTGGAAATCTTGAAGAAGCGAGTCAGACATCAATAGCAAGGCTCTTTCAGAGACATGGGAAGGGCAGTGATCACTTGCAAGTAATACAATACAAGAAATCTCAGTCCTTTCTCTGCATTCAGAATATGGGATACATATTTCCCTGTATAGTTCTGTTGTTGTCTTCTGAGCCTAATGAGGTTATGATGTAAAATATGGTGTGCATAGGCCAGAAAAATGTGTGATAGATTCTGCAGTCTTGATTTTTGGTAGATAACTGTAATCTGTGTGAACTTGAACCTCCTCAAAAAAGACTGGATGTCCAGGCAACCTAGATCACTTATTCTCCTGGTTGGCATACCTTATGTTAAGGGAAGATGAGTTGCTGGCTTTTTTCTGCTGATTTTGCACCTCTTTTGACACGAGTGTATTGTCAACCAACCACAATTTTTTGGTGTTCTCATTTTTAAGTGATCTGTACATTTACAGCCCAGTCATTCAGGTACTGTGGGATGTGTCTTTGGGCCACTTACAGGTGGAAACACCTGAAAACTGTATCCACTACATTGAATAAAAAAACCAACACGTCAAAACCAAAAACGTGCAAATGAGTGTGAGAGTGCTCCCTTCCCTAACAGGAAAAATCTGTGTGGGGTGCTTCTCAGGTTTAACATACAGTCTTGTAATTGCTAGCTCTTGGCTTTTGTGGAAATTGATGGCCACCAAATACTTTTTGCTTAACATACCCCAGGATGGATTACTCATGGCCCTGGTGGCTTCAAATGTTAATGTTACTGGCAGGAAAAAATAGTGCATCTGAAGGTCTCGGGAATATGCTTTAGCTCCCTGGATTCAGATTGCAAAAGCAGTGGGATCACAGGAGAATACAGCATAGAGGGAAAGATGCTTGAGAAAATGCTGCAGTTCCCAGGTCAGTGGAGACTTGGATAGTTGCCAAAATGAACTTCCAGGCTGTAATACTTGGGAGTTTATTGTATGTACAGCTATCTACAGCTGTATGTAAAGCCTATCTACAAGAGTTTATATATAAATGTTGATTACTTGCTAGATGTACGCATTTCTGCTTTTTAAAAGGGTAATTTAAAACTAATAGGTATGCAATCCCAGCTCAATACACTATTGATCAGGGTAGTAGTAATCAACTATTATATATAAAGGCATAAAAAATACCCGGCTTTATGCTAAACTGCCAGAACCAGCAACCTGATTTATCCCTTAGTAGTAATTAAGAACTTTATGTTTAGCCTTAACTAAACAATGAATGCTGATTAAAACCATTCTACCAAGCCGGGAATGATTTAATGTGATATAATCATCCTTTTGTTCATCATTGTTGCTAGCTTCCACATGACTGCAGTGAGTGCTAGTTTCATCAGCAGAAAGTGATGTGTAATGCTTGTGTCTGGGATCCCACAAGTGAATTTATAATTTGATTTTTACAATTGGTTTTTAAGCATTGCCGGCATAATGGTTCTTTGTTGTGATACAGATGCTCCACCTATGTGTTCAAAAACTCTTTGTAAAACTACGTGTATTAGACCTGTGTACTCTCTGGGAATTAATCTGTTAATATCAAAAGATCATAGGAAGCTAGAACCTTTGGTTGTAAGGATCAAGTTGAGACACATTTGTGTGTGACCTTGTTGCCTTTATTGACTATCTCTAGGGTTTTAGATAGCTGAATAAAATATTTGAGCTGACAGAAAATGCGAACATTTAGATCAGTTGCTAAGAGTGATTTTGCACTAAATGAAGTCTCTGCTGTTTTCCTTATTTAGCGTAGGAAAAATGGGGGGGGAAATTAGTATCAGAGTGGGACAAATCTTGACTGCAAATAAACGCTACAAGAAAATATCTGTCAGATAACGCTCTTCTAGGTGCACCTCAGTATGCACATGCATTGTTGCATTCACAAAGGTATGCAGTCATCTTAATTATGCTACAGTTTCTGTAGGTAAACCTACACTGTTTTTCTGTGGATGCCAACAGGACGTAGTGTAAGTGATAAACACTTCCCCGTTGCCCTCATCAGGGAATTGTTTCCCTATTTAATCGAACAGGAGATGAGTTTAAAAGCCATAAAGGTAGTTGGTGAGGATTGGACTGTCATTTCGGTCACTTCATCCCAATCAATACTTTAACCTTTAGACTGAGGTTCTTGTTGCTGGTCTTTTTAATTGCTTTTAAAGCTTCGAGCACTGACCCCTGTCCCTTTGCTCCCCAGAGTTGTCCTTTGGCTTCAGGGTAGGGCTTATGTAAGTATTGCCTGGCATATGAAGTGTGTTACTATGCAGGTGATTATGTCTTACTAATCAGGACATGACTTATATTTAAGTTAAACTGTTTATTTTCATGTGGTCCTGTATGAAGATTTTATTTTCATCATCTACTCCAAATTATCCTATGTTTTTGGACAGGTGGCTAAAATATTTTCAGCTCTGAATATTATGAAGGATGGGTCCAACAGACAGTGTGTTTTAATTTGTTATATATCAATGATATGACCAGGTTACAGAGTCAAATTAAGTGAAATTAAAGTGTCTTGGAAAAAACTGTTATTAAATTTAGAAATCATTTAAAGATCAATGTGGTGCAGTTTTCCTCTTACAGAAATGTTAGAAGAAACCAAATTGGACAAGGGCCAATGAAGTACTCTCCTGATAATTTAGTTATGCAATATTGTAAGCATGTCCTGCTAGCATAACACTTCAATTCTTCTGAGAAGAAGCTTGTCTAAGACTAAAAATCAGAAAATTTTTCAAAAGTCCAATTTTTTAGCCCAAAGATGCCATTTCAGAGGAATTAGTTTAACTTCTCTGTGATGAAAATGTCTTAATTTTCATGCTTTGCTGCCTGTAGGACCCTGAGATTTGCTCAGTATTGAAGAATATTGTTATTAGATATTTTGTTGTACATCTTCAGTCGTGTGAAAATTGTATTGTTGTATTTTTCACATTGTGTCTGAGCATCGTATGAAAGTGTTTGTGCAAGGAGATTACAATGATATTGTCTTGACTTAGCTGTATTTAAAAGATTGGATGTTAATAATTTAACTTGGGGTTTTTTTTCCTACTGTTTACAACTCCTGGTTGCCTATTATATTTCATTTCTAAAGTCTATAATCCATCTGGCTAGGTGATAAATGCGTTGCTGAAAAAGTAGATAGTACCAAGATTCCTGATTTGTGAGCTATATTTAACAGTCATTTGCAATTATTTATAGGTGCTGTTGGTAAGCAGTAGCCGATACCCAGATCAGTGGATTGTACCGGGTGGAGGAATGGAACCAGAAGAAGAGCCAGGGGGAGCAGCCGTCAGAGAGGTGTATGAAGAGGTAACAAAAAAGGCGCAAAAAAAAAAAAAAAAACCAGCTGCCGGTGCCTGTTCCACTAGAGGGTACCCTGTCCCTGCAGCGGTGCCAGGCAGGGAGCTCTGCTAAGGGAATGCTGCTCCCCAGGAAACCTGAGGGCCAGGCCTAAAAAAAAGACAAAAAAAAAAAAAAAAAATCAACCTGTTTCTACTATCTTCAGATGGGAATCATGAAGAAAGAGGGAACTCTACCTCTTTTATCGTGGATTTGACTGAGATTTCCATGGTTGTGAAATTTAAAGAATTGCAGTTCTGTGTGTTAAAATTTTGGGGTATAGTGTGGTGAGGTGAACTAACTAGCTTGCTTCCCAGCACGCTTTCATTTCATAGCTAAATTTCTGTCTGCTGTTATAAATGCTTACTGGAAGGGGAACTGTGACTTTATGCCAAATGACATATTATAGTAGTGTAGCATTTCTGTGTTTGTGCAAAAAATATTTGACTCGCACTTCTTGTAGAACAGACTGAAGGTGAACTAACCATTAATGTGTTGCTACAAAAGAAAGAGAAATAAACAACCTTTGAGTAGATTCCAAACTAAACGGATTAGAAACCGATGTATCTGAGCAGTTGAGTATTCAACAATAAAAAGGCCTTGTTAAGTACATTTAAGACTGCTTATCTATAAAAAAGCACCACAAATACAGTCTGCCTTTCTTTCTCTGCCCCTATCTCTAGGCAAAACAGAGCTTTAAGTCTTGATGAATTAATGCAGTTTCCAACTCTAGTATGGTACTTATATTTCAAATTCAAAATTCTGCTTTTTAACTTACTGTGTATTTTTCCTAGGCAAACTTAAAAATGTTAAATGTTACTTGACTGTCTAACAGCCAGGACTGTAAGCCAAATAAAATTTTAAAAAAAATCAGTCACTTGATTTAGCTAGAAATTATGCAATACAGAAGTTACCACAGATCAACTCTTAATTCTTTGTCATACCTCTTAAATAGAAGGTATAAGGTTTTGCAGAAAGTGGATGCATCCTGGCAAGGGAGTGAACTATAGGATTTCTGTTAGTCTTAAACAGTCATCTCATCCCAGTTTGACTACTCCTGTTCACAAAATATGTTAATACTGTTGCTAATTAGTATATATAATGATTTTTTAATTAGCTGTGCTATCTAGTGGTTTAGCTTGCTTACCCTTAAGACTGGTTCTGTTGGGTTATAGAAGCTTAGGAACTTGATATAGATGCAACTTGTACGAAATGCTGTTTAATGCTGCCTACTATTCGGGGTCAAAATGAGATCTTTTGTGAACTGTGATTCAGTGACCCTTCTACCCTCTTACATGGGTAACAGGCTAGTTCAGTATTCAATGCTCTTAGCAACTTTCATGCAGCAAGGTTCAAGCCATAAATAAGCCTCACTGATACAAAGTTATTCCAGATTTTGTGTCCCCTAGTTTTGCTGGGGGAGCCAAGACATACTCACATAGGTACTTGTGTATTTGTAAAAGTAAAGGAGGTAGCCACAAGGCAGTCAATTTGAAAGCAACAGATTTAGGATTCTAGGAGCGAGTCAGCAAAGATTTAGGCTTCTAGGCAGTAGTAGCACTTCTGGGGAAAGTCCTGGCACTTCCCCCTGTCACAAATTGATAGGTGGGATTAAAAAGCACAGGATCACTGCTTGTTGTGAACATTGATAGTTGTAATCACTGATCTGACCTAAGGCACAGTCCAAGATGAGAGAGAGTAAAATCTCATCTCCGTGATAAACTAGAGCTGACTAAACTGTAGTTGTTTGGTTTGTTGGGTTTTTTTTCTTTGGTGGTGAAGAATGGATCATCTTGGAGACCCTTCTGTGGTTAGTATGTCATCAAAGTTGCTGTGGGGGTTTGACCAACTACTGAAAGATGCCTGAGTGATCTACCTTCTGAGCTTGCAGGGAAGGCACTGGTCTACCTTCTGAGCTTGCAGGGAAGGCGCTGCTACACACAAAGCTCTCCGGCTGACTTCGTAGCAAAGTAGTATCGCAGTGACAGTTGTGACCTGGGGGCTGCTACACGTGGGTCTGCCCTGAGAATATTCTGAGCAACATTTATAAGTCCTGGCTTTGCTGGAGCACAGCTTGCAAATTTCTGCAGCGGTACAGTGCACGGCTATGAGCGTTGGAGAAAGTTAAACTAGGATAGCAAAGGAATTTGTATAGACTACTACTGAAGGATACATCATATAGTGTAAATTTCTCTGTTAATGTAAAAGCCCAAGAGTGCACACACTGCCCAGACACTGAACTTCTCCGGTTCATACAGATACCAGAATGTTAAATACTTCTGAATTACCTTTTTCCCTTTGGACATGCTTTCACACCAGCAGGCAAAAAAAAAAAGGCAAATCAGGAAGTGAAAAAATAGGAGTACCTGCTGTTATGATGTGAAGCAGTCCTTCCATAGTTTGGTTTTGTTCTTGCCCTTGTTCCTACTTTCCTATACATTATAGTGGTTCTGGTCAAGAATTGCAGTACCCAGCAACCCTAAACTGTTTTGAATCCTAAAGGCAAAGGTCAGCTTCCTTCACTCATACACAGAACTCTTTTTGATCCTGTTTTGTTCAAGCGCAATCACACATAGCAAGTCTTAAAACCAGCTACATGTAAACAGGGTTTAGGAAGATGCTTTGATTATCTGTCAGTGTATTTCATGTGCCTTGGTTGAACTCCAGCCGGCAGCTAGGACTACACAGCTGCCCGCTCCCTAGTTGAGATGGGGAAGAGAATCAGAGTAGTAAAAGGGAGGAAAAACTCATGGGTTGAGATAAAGAAAGCTTAATAGGTAAAGCAAAAGCTGCACACGCAAGCAAAGCAAAACAAGGAATTCATTCCCTGCTTCTCGTTGGCAGGCAGGTGTTCAGCCATCCCCAGGAAAGCAGGGCTCCATCACGGGTCACAGTTACTGAACATCTCTCCCTTCCTTCTTTCTTCCCTCAGCTTTATATGCAGAGCATGATGTCATATGGCATGGACTATCCCTTTGGTGGTCAGGGTCAGCTGTCCTGGCTGTGTCCCCTCCCAACTTATTGTGTATTCTTGTCTACTTACTGGTAGGGTGGTGTGAGGAGAAGAAAAGGCCTTGCGTGCTTAGCAACAACCGAAAACATCAGTGTGCCATCAACACTTTCTCATCCCAAATCCAAAACATAGCACTACACCAGCTGCTAGCAGGGAACTTAACTCCATCCCAGCTGAAACCATGACAGTACGTTAAGCTGCTCTGTAGCTGCTTAGAATATATGTGCTGTCATCAAAATTTCAATAAGAGGCTTTATGATAGAAAAGTCGGGTGTTGTATATCACTTGAAAAATGCCAGCATCATCAGTGTTTGTATACCACGAGAGAAACTGTTTCTAAAGATAACAAAGAGAACCCAGCAAATCTGAAGCTCCTCAGTGGTGCTAGCACAGGGGCATTTTGCTTAGTAGTTAAACCAATCTTTATTCACTCTTACTCTAGTGGCTATGCTTTTTTTTTATGATGTTCTCAAGTAAGACACAAACTGCAAGCCCCATTCAACTCTGAGCTGTGGTTGCAAATACATAAAGATGTTTTTCAAAGGCTAGGGGCTTTAATAAGCAAAAATCATTTGGTGACACTTGGTCTACAACTTCAGAGTTTCTGGGGTTTGATAGCTTGTGTATGAGCAATAAAAGCTCATACCTTAAAGGAAAATATTCTTAAGCTACAGGTTGAATCTTGTGTGCTGCCACGAGACTGCAAAGTGCCGTTTTTAAAGAAAAGCCAGAGTGGTATTCAGGGTTTTGACTTGAGCCATGGAAATTTGTTCTAACTTTTCTAGAGATGCATGTCCTTTCTATTTTTATACTAAGGTCAATGTCACCTGGCAAGCTGGTTACAGTACAGTGAACTGTTACAAGTTTTGTGAATGAATAAACTTCAAAGGAGGCACACTGTGGCACTGGTTAGAACTGTGTTTCTTCAGTATTGGGTCATGCACAAACTAAGCATTGGTTTCCATTAATTTATTAAAATGGAGAAATTGATAGTGGGAGATGCAATGGCATCTCTTAATGGTAGGAGTGCTGATAGCTCACAATATGATAGCCCACTGGCTCTAAATATCCCTCACTTTCCCACCAACAGTCATGTATATAAAATCCTTGTTTTAAAACTCGAGCAAAGACTTTTGTAATCAAATCTATATGCACTCCAGTTGTACCATAGTCTGTCTGCCTTTGTGCATGAGTCCAGACTTTTTTTTTTATCCTTAAGTTCTGTTCATGTTAGTGACGTGGGTTTTTACCCCTACTAAATATTTAGTATGAATTTCATTTAAGTGTCTCTGCCATTTCACAGGTTACAGTAATTAAGCTAACCTGTCAAGTTCCTTAGGTACAATATGTTTGTAAAAACCTGAAAGTAGAATACCGAAATAAAGTTAGACTAAAAAGCAATCCCAGAAAGGTATTAAACCTCATCTAAATGAGGAGGCACTCTGTTCATTAATTTGGAGCTTAGTCTTTTATTGGGTGGCATGAAAGGTGGAAATAAGAGCTGTTTGCACATGCAGTGTTCAAAGAGAAATATGATGCAAATAATCAGGGTGGTAAGCTGGTGATGTCCAGCCTCTTAAATGAAAGGAGCAGTGAAAATGGCAGTAATATTATCTAAGACCTCTTGCAGGAAGTAGAGGAATCTGCTCCAGTGAGTATCTAATAGTTGAAAAATGATTGGGTGTTACAGACTAGGGCTAGGTAGATACTTTAAAAAGTAAATAAATAAAACATTGTTTTAGCTGAAAGATTGTGGCATCTACAATGAAACCCTTTGGGGCATGCAAGAAAGGGCAGGAATTGCCTTGCACTGTGCCTTCAGGAGTCTGGCCATTAAAGTACTATCCGAAAGATCCCACAGATAAAAATAGCTCTTAAATCTTTCAGTTTTTAAGCAAGTTTCTGCTGTGGTAGACTGCTAGCCTAGACATTAAACTGCAGCATGACTCTTGCTCCATCTACAGGCAACAGGAGGCAGGTCTGAGAGCACAGCTGTGACTGCAGCACGGCTGGAGCTGCCAACAGCAAAGGGCCTCCAGGCCAGAAAGATTATGAGATGAAATGGCCAGTTTTTCCTCTTGGCGTTGAATTTAGAGTAATGCTAAAACACATGCATAAATTCAGATTTGAGACCTTATTGACATAGTACTCATAGGCTTCCTTAGGGAATCCTTCTGGGGAAGTGCAGCACTTAATTCAATCGCTTGTCTGCCAAAAGAAATGCTGTTTTTTCAGGCTTTTCTCCCAAAGTTTAAACTGTCTCACTTGCTTATTGTAGCCTATAGGATTTTGTTTACTTAAAGAACTGTATTTTAACAGCTATGGGCACATCATGGCCAAAGGAAGAAAGATATTTTTATTAGAGACAAAATGGTTCAAAGTCTAAGAACTTAACCAGTGTATTGGATTAGAAGTTTACAATTAGGAAAGTGGAAACTTTATTTGACTTTCTAAGGAATAAGCTGAAGCATTTCTTGGTCCCCTAGAGCTTAATTTTGACAAGTTTTGGAGGAACTACATTATGGTAAGAACCTGGAGGAAATACTTTTGTTAGCAAAAGCACTTTAAAAAAAAAAAATCACAGTCAGTTTAATGGTACTTTTTAAACTATGAGTTGATTCAATGGAATATATAGAGTCATGAGACTCTAGTTGCCACCTTTTTATACTTTTCCGCAGAGAATTCAAAAGACACTACTGTCTGCAGGAATGGTGCTACGTTTTAGAAGCACCTGTCTTTGCCTAGAGAGTAACTGGGCATCAGTGACAGTAATCACATTTACGTAGCAACATCTGGTTGCACAAAAGCTTTGTTACAAGCTTTGAGGAATTTTTACACAACGTAATAGAGTGCTTCTAATTGTTTCATTCAGAATTACTTAGCTAAGAGTATTTGTTTAAACCACTGATGTACTTGGAGGGAGAATAGAGAAGTTGTTAAGTAAATTCCACTTATACTAACATTGATAATAAAGTCACATGGTGACTGTGGGGTACTAAGAAGTTGAGAAAACTTCTCTAGAAAAGCTATTCTGCATTTGGTAAACTCACCTGGTCATGGTGGTTTTGCCATGTGTTGGATATCAGTTAATTGTCAGACTCCCACTGAGCAGTTCAGAGAAACCATCCTGTATCTCTTAATGGTGAGTTTCTTTGTCCTTAAACATAGTCCCTAGACTCATGTTTTAAAAAAAATCTTTGTAATGTAAATAGGGCTTTGGCTAGGACTTCTTAAAGATTTCTAAAATTTTGGAAGTTTTTTGGGTTGAGGGGGTGGGTGAGTTTAGGCAGAGGGGGAGTAATTTTTTCCTTCCGTCTGGTATAGTCCCCTTTTCAGCAGTTCCTTGGCACTTGGAAAAGCTTTTCTTGATGTTTGAGAAACCTGCAGAGTCTATACTGGGCTTTCTCTCATGCCGTTAGGCCGTATCTTGCCATATCTGTAAGGATATTAAAGAATCTTGTTCTTTGCTGCAACTTTAGGGAAGAAATTACAAAACTTGTGCAGCTAAAAGTGCACACTTGAACACCTGAAGTATTGAAAAAAGACTAATCCCACAAATTCATATTGTTACTTTTGATAGTATAGGATGATGGAAAATTGCTTTTTTTAGATGTTCAGTTTGACACAAAGTAGAAATCTGTAGGATATAGTGATTCCTAGCTATTGCTGCTTGAGAAGAAATGCAAACATTGGGAGCAGAAGCATAAGTTTGTAGACTTTGAGGTTCTGTTTCTCTTTTTTAAAAAAGACACCATAATGTTGAGAAAATTAGGACTGATCCATAAAACTTCTTCAGCATGTGTTTCTTTAGGCTAATGATTGCTTTTTCATTATCCGGTGTAAATCACGAGGAGTTTTCAGTGCCTGTTGTGGCATAGCTGGCTTTTTCAGACCAAAATAAGGATCTGTCGCTTTCATAATTAATGTATTGCCTAATCACTTACCCAACAGGTCAAGTAATGTATTTTTCAGCTTCATGAGCTTTAACAGATATCTCTGTCATCACAGCAGACAACCAGAAGAATATTGGATGTAGTTTGGCATTAACTTTTGGCTAGCTGTTGCTTTAGATGAGCAGAATGCTTGTTGAGTTGCAGGGGCTGTGGTCAGACTTCCTCCGTCAAAACTGCTTAATAAATAACGCCAGCCATCTGCTTTCTTTAAAAAGAAAGACACAGAAAACATCCACTTGTAAGATCTTGATTAGACTTACTGCTAAAGCCTGCCCAGTTGTCTGCCAGAGTTACTCGTTAAAATGTAATTAAGATCCATATGGTGCTTTATATAAAGACATAAGACATCAGTAACTTTCTTCGGTTAAAGCTGGAAAACAAAGACTGAAGGCTGGAAAATGTCATTTTAGCGCTAAGAAGCCCTGTTTTAAATATCGGTTATACAAGACAAAAAACATCCACCAGTAGACTACATATGCTTTTAAGTCTCAGGCGTATGGATTCAGATTTGTTTAGAATAAATGGATGATCATAAACTACATCTTTTGGAAGAGGCATTATGTATTACTTCTGGAAAAGCAAACCATAGAGTCTTAGAACATAACGACCATCTTAACTGTATTGATTAAAAAAAACTAAGAGCAGGTTGATACACATGGGGGTTGTTTTAAAAAGTTGTAGTAAAACTCTAAAGCCTTTTTCTAGAAAAAGAATTCAAAACAGTTTTGTACAGAATTGGGGATATAAATTTGATTTTAAGCTTACATGCCAAAAGCTACACTTTCATATTAAAACTAGCGTACATTAAGTCATTATGGTGCAAGATCCACCCAGTAACCTACAGTTTAATTTGGTTTGTTATTGTATTTTGAAGACTTGGACTTAAATTTCTGTGTAAAATAGCAATGGGGTTTTAATGATTCCTTCTCTAGATTTATTACAATACTGCTTTAGTTCTGTCTTGTCCTGTCTACTTCCCTGGCTAATTTCAGTATTGGATGTCATTTATCTCTGTAATAAAATACAGTACACAAAGAACACGGTAAGTAAAACAGTATTTTTTTTTCTGAAAACCTTAAAGATTTATGGATTCTTTGACCCGCTCATTAGGGCAAGCTTTTATGTTCTAATGCTAATACTTTAAAACTAGAAACTCCAGAAGCAATGCAGCACTGTCTAATTAAAACTTATGTTAAAACACTTGCTTAAATAACACTAATAAGGAGAAGTAATTCACTTATGCTGATTTAGGATTCTGACACTGACATTTCAGTTTCTTTAAATTAAAAAGCACATTAACCCTTTTTCCTGTTTGTTTTGTAGGCTGGAGTTAAGGGAAAGCTAGGAAGACTGCTTGGGATATTTGAGGTGAGCTACTTCTTTTACCTTTTAAAAACAATGGGGCTTTTTTTGTTTTTTGGTTGGTTTTTCTTGTGAGTTGATAAACTACAGAAACAGCATCTACACAACACAATCAGACTTAAGTTCTTAAGTATTACCTGCCTTTAATTTTGCAATGCTACTGGAAATGCTACGTTAGACAGGTGTTTTGCTTTAGTCATTACATGATTGTGGGAAGGTTTGAATAGGAAAATTTCCCATTAGTCCCAAATTAGTAATTGGACAACATCTAGAAGGTTTAAAAAAAAAATAAAATATTGAAATGAACATTCATAGATCTAAGATCGCTGAAATGTCACATATGCCTTTTATGGGGCGATATTTTGACTTTTCTTCTGTAATTAGATTTTGCTGAAATATCTCATTATGGCATTTATTCCCTAAAAAAGTTAATGATTTAGATGACAGATAAATCTAACCTTTAGCAATACTACGTAGTTCAAAAATTGTATTTCATAGTGTAAACATCAGACTTTGAACTACTGACAGCACAAGGATGCATACTAGATGTAGCTCTGGTTTAGTGTTGGCATTGGCAATTCTTGTCAGGTTCTAGACAGGAGTAGATTGTAGAAATGTACATGGGAGCCTTCAGATCATAATACATGCAACATTATTCTGTTGTGCTGTATGGCAGCTGGGAGTGGAAGACCCTCAGACCAGTAGTTAGGTGTGAAGCTTCACAGTTAAATTATAAAAGCAACTTTCAGAGACAGTCTATTCCTGATAGGGTTTCCCTATGTGAAATATTACTTAATACAGTGCTAAAGGTGTTCCCATTGTGAAGGATGGAAACCATAACAAAATTAGGAAAGTTCCTGTTTGTAACTAGAATCATAGAATCTTCTAGGTTGGAAGGGACCTTAAAGGTCATCTAGTCCAACCATCAACCTAACTCTGACAAAAAAAAATATATAAGAAATAGGAAATAAAAATTAGTAGCATTCTCTATACCTGTGCCCTTTTTCTGATTTGTTTTGGGTTTATGAATACACCTGGATGGTCCTACGCAGGACAGAACTTGTCTGTTTTTAACTCTGCTGGTCTGCTGGTTAGCCTGCAGAAGTATGCCATATTTGCTAGCTGAGATTAAAAAAAAGACAGGATACCTGTCATCTTGTTGCCTTAAAACTGGGGCCATAAGGGACTGTAATTATTTGGCAATTTAGCTGTATGTTCTTCTGAAGCCATCTACCACCAAGCACCTAGACCAGAGGAGATAAAATAAGTGTTGAGTGGCACTTCTCTAGGTTACTGCTAACCGACATCAAGACCCTGATTCAGTCTCACAACATGGCCCCACAAACGGTTGTTAGTACCATCGAGGGGGCCACATGGTGCAACCTGAGATTGAAGTAAACAGAAAATGGAAATTATATTGCTCCAGAGTCCTCGTGTTCTGGAACTACAGGTAGAAATGCTGGGTTTTTTTAATAAATGTATTTACTCCCTTTAACAGTGATATTGACGAACAACTGTCTTGGTGTATTTTTATTGCCTAGTAAAGCACAAAAGTTTAAAACTATACCAACAGTGCAGCGAAACAGAGATAAGTAGGAATGTTTATTGGCATAAGGATAAAACCATCTGTAAGGGGAGCTAGGGCATAACCTCTCTTGGTTCTTAATATAGTTGTAATTGTAGATGGTCCTGGGTTTTCTAGGAGCTCAGTTCTCTTCCAAGGGGGGGTATGGCTTGGTTAGTGGGGCAGCACCTTTAGGAGCGTGCTGGTGGCCTCCTGTGGAGGTAGCAGGGAGTGATGTCCACACAGACCTCACATGGACCAGCTGTGGCACATCCACCTTGCCCTGAGCAGAAAAAAAAAAAAAAAATCAACCTGTTTCTACTATCTTCAGATGGGAATCATGAAGAAAGAGGGAACTCTACCTCTTTTATCGTGGATTTGACTGAGATTTCCATGGTTGTGAAATTTAAAGAATTGCAGTTCTGTGTGTTAAAATTTTGGGGTATAGTGTGGTGAGGTGAACTAACTAGCTTGCTTCCCAGCACGCTTTCATTTCATAGCTAAATTTCTGTCTGCTGTTATAAATGCTTACTGGAAGGGGAACTGTGACTTTATGCCAAATGACATATTATAGTAGTGTAGCATTTCTGTGTTTGTGCAAAAAATATTTGACTCGCACTTCTTGTAGAACAGACTGAAGGTGAACTAACCATTAATGTGTTGCTACAAAAGAAAGAGAAATAAACAACCTTTGAGTAGATTCCAAACTAAACGGATTAGAAACCGATGTATCTGAGCAGTTGAGTATTCAACAATAAAAAGGCCTTGTTAAGTACATTTAAGACTGCTTATCTATAAAAAAGCACCACAAATACAGTCTGCCTTTCTTTCTCTGCCCCTATCTCTAGGCAAAACAGAGCTTTAAGTCTTGATGAATTAATGCAGTTTCCAACTCTAGTATGGTACTTATATTTCAAATTCAAAATTCTGCTTTTTAACTTACTGTGTATTTTTCCTAGGCAAACTTAAAAATGTTAAATGTTACTTGACTGTCTAACAGCCAGGACTGTAAGCCAAATAAAATTTTAAAAAAAATCAGTCACTTGATTTAGCTAGAAATTATGCAATACAGAAGTTACCACAGATCAACTCTTAATTCTTTGTCATACCTCTTAAATAGAAGGTATAAGGTTTTGCAGAAAGTGGATGCATCCTGGCAAGGGAGTGAACTATAGGATTTCTGTTAGTCTTAAACAGTCATCTCATCCCAGTTTGACTACTCCTGTTCACAAAATATGTTAATACTGTTGCTAATTAGTATATATAATGATTTTTTAATTAGCTGTGCTATCTAGTGGTTTAGCTTGCTTACCCTTAAGACTGGTTCTGTTGGGTTATAGAAGCTTAGGAACTTGATATAGATGCAACTTGTACGAAATGCTGTTTAATGCTGCCTACTATTCGGGGTCAAAATGAGATCTTTTGTGAACTGTGATTCAGTGACCCTTCTACCCTCTTACATGGGTAACAGGCTAGTTCAGTATTCAATGCTCTTAGCAACTTTCATGCAGCAAGGTTCAAGCCATAAATAAGCCTCACTGATACAAAGTTATTCCAGATTTTGTGTCCCCTAGTTTTGCTGGGGGAGCCAAGACATACTCACATAGGTACTTGTGTATTTGTAAAAGTAAAGGAGGTAGCCACAAGGCAGTCAATTTGAAAGCAACAGATTTAGGATTCTAGGAGCGAGTCAGCAAAGATTTAGGCTTCTAGGCAGTAGTAGCACTTCTGGGGAAAGTCCTGGCACTTCCCCCTGTCACAAATTGATAGGTGGGATTAAAAAGCACAGGATCACTGCTTGTTGTGAACATTGATAGTTGTAATCACTGATCTGACCTAAGGCACAGTCCAAGATGAGAGAGAGTAAAATCTCATCTCCGTGATAAACTAGAGCTGACTAAACTGTAGTTGTTTGGTTTGTTGGGTTTTTTTTCTTTGGTGGTGAAGAATGGATCATCTTGGAGACCCTTCTGTGGTTAGTATGTCATCAAAGTTGCTGTGGGGGTTTGACCAACTACTGAAAGATGCCTGAGTGATCTACCTTCTGAGCTTGCAGGGAAGGCACTGGTCTACCTTCTGAGCTTGCAGGGAAGGCGCTGCTACACACAAAGCTCTCCGGCTGACTTCGTAGCAAAGTAGTATCGCAGTGACAGTTGTGACCTGGGGGCTGCTACACGTGGGTCTGCCCTGAGAATATTCTGAGCAACATTTATAAGTCCTGGCTTTGCTGGAGCACAGCTTGCAAATTTCTGCAGCGGTACAGTGCACGGCTATGAGCGTTGGAGAAAGTTAAACTAGGATAGCAAAGGAATTTGTATAGACTACTACTGAAGGATACATCATATAGTGTAAATTTCTCTGTTAATGTAAAAGCCCAAGAGTGCACACACTGCCCAGACACTGAACTTCTCCGGTTCATACAGATACCAGAATGTTAAATACTTCTGAATTACCTTTTTCCCTTTGGACATGCTTTCACACCAGCAGGCAAAAAAAAAAAGGCAAATCAGGAAGTGAAAAAATAGGAGTACCTGCTGTTATGATGTGAAGCAGTCCTTCCATAGTTTGGTTTTGTTCTTGCCCTTGTTCCTACTTTCCTATACATTATAGTGGTTCTGGTCAAGAATTGCAGTACCCAGCAACCCTAAACTGTTTTGAATCCTAAAGGCAAAGGTCAGCTTCCTTCACTCATACACAGAACTCTTTTTGATCCTGTTTTGTTCAAGCGCAATCACACATAGCAAGTCTTAAAACCAGCTACATGTAAACGGGGTTTAGGAAGATGCTTTGATTATCTGTCAGTGTATTTCATGTGCCTTGGTTGAACTCCAGCCGGCAGCTAGGACTACACAGCTGCCCGCTCCCTAGTTGAGATGGGGAAGAGAATCAGAGTAGTAAAAGGGAGGAAAAACTCATGGGTTGAGATAAAGAAAGCTTAATAGGTAAAGCAAAAGCTGCACACGCAAGCAAAGCAAAACAAGGAATTCATTCCCTGCTTCTCGTTGGCAGGCAGGTGTTCAGCCATCCCCAGGAAAGCAGGGCTCCATCACGGGTCACAGTTACTGAACATCTCTCCCTTCCTTCTTTCTTCCCTCAGCTTTATATGCAGAGCATGATGTCATATGGCATGGACTATCCCTTTGGTGGTCAGGGTCAGCTGTCCTGGCTGTGTCCCCTCCCAACTTATTGTGTATTCTTGTCTACTTACTGGTAGGGTGGTGTGAGGAGAAGAAAAGGCCTTGCGTGCTTAGCAACAACCGAAAACATCAGTGTGCCATCAACACTTTCTCATCCCAAATCCAAAACATAGCACTACACCAGCTGCTAGCAGGGAACTTAACTCCATCCCAGCTGAAACCATGACAGTACGTTAAGCTGCTCTGTAGCTGCTTAGAATATATGTGCTGTCATCAAAATTTCAATAAGAGGCTTTATGATAGAA